TAAGTAGACCACCTACGGACTTTCAAAATGACTGCATAAGTTTTAAAGGTGTCCATTCAGGGCCAATTTTGGCCATTTTTACACTCCCTCCTTTATTGTATTCGTATTCCTGTGTTATGTAAATTGGTGGAAATTCCTTTTTTTTAGTTGTTGGTTCGTTGCAATTGGCGGGGGATTGGTGCTTCAGGAACTTAGCATTCCTTGCGAGGGGGCGCAAAAGTAAATTCCTGCGTAGGGCGCAAAAGGCAGTTGTAACGCCTCCGCATATAGGTTAGGGCGTTATAAACAAACGTTTTGCGGCATAATTCCGTTGTGACAGGATATTCGTATTGATAAATACTTAATAAATAAACTTAAATGATTATTTATTTGTTTATTAATATTATATTATACTAATTTACTGCTCAATTCAAAATTCTGAATAGAGAATACAATTTTTTAATCCATTTTAATAAATTGAATTTTCTTGATTACTGGAACTTAGACTACTTGTAACACTATGTAAATATAAAGTAAAACAAATATTTATTTATACTTTTCATACTTACACATTACATATTTTTATTTTTAAAAATGGCCCAAAATGTAATTGGATAATATCTAATTGTTGCAGTAGATGGATTCACGAGGACTGTAGAAAGATATATTTATGCTATTAAAAACGTGTCTCAAAGTTTATTTTACATGTTGTATAACTTAATCTATCGAAGTTATTACTTATATCCTTATATTGTTTATATTACCTATATTATGTTACAAATGTTTATTTTCATTACAAAAATCATTAATAATGTGTTCTTGCAATAAAAAAAACAAAATAAATGTTATACTTGGTATTTTTTTGTATGTAGCATATTACCCTCATGGTGGTATATTACTCATTTTTCAGCACTTTCGTATTTCTTTATTTTTAATAACAAAAAATGAATATATTCGATTCCAATTATACACAAATAATAGATAAAGGATGAAAGAAAAAGATCAGTATGTAAAGTTATTTTAAATTGAACAAATAATTACTAAAAAATCTAATTTCGCTTAAGTGTGGCATATTCCCCCAACTTACCCTATACTTAAAAAATTACTTTGCGGAAAAAATGGCTTACACTTTTAATACTTAATTTTTCATAAAGTTCCACGTTGCAGTAACATTATCCTCAAATTTCGAGACATGCTGTATATGGAATCGGCATTCATAAGATATTTTTATAGATATTTTTTTTACAAATCTAATTTTATGTAATTTTTTGAGTCAAGATTTTTTGAATTTATTAAAAGATAAAACTGAATATTAATGTAATAGCAATGCTATTGAAAAAAAGAATAAAGGTATATAATATTTAAATACATGTTATTTTATAATAATTTCGTAATGATTTTATGAAGAGATTACTGTGCAAATAAATAAAAGTACAAAAGAACTATTGAATGGCTACGCATTGAAAGCATTTTATCAAGCGTTTATGGCAATAAAATTTTAATCTAGATTAAAAAGGCAGTTAAAATTCAAATTTGAAATATAATCTTATAGCTATTAATGTTTTGACGACGGAAAAGACATCTTTTATTATTTTGCTTTATATTGTTTTTTTTTTGAGATTCTAAAAAGAGAGTACACGTTAGGCATGCTTGATATAATCGTCTTGCGAGACGTCATGTAATGAAAAAGCAGAACCTCCATCACGAGCCTTCTAAGAATATCCTGCATAATTACTTTTACATAATATTGTATAAACAATACTTGTTAAACCTTTATACATGACATCTTATATGCAATACTTTTAGTGTGTAATATTTTTATAATTAACAAATCTTCAGCTTTCACCAGTTATCAAACTAGTCTGATTTCACGGTCACATTTCTTATAAAATAATAATCAATTTGAACTTTAACTCTCTATAAGGAATCCTAATCGATACATGCCGAATTCTTGTAGCTGAGTTATTTTTAGTTCAATCGGACACAAAGAGTGCGAGAGCACGAGGATAAGTGTCGAAAATGTAAAAGATCGTATCTTAGGTTTTCATATGTACGATATGTTGCGTAAGCATATTATATATTGCATTTAATGCGTATATGTGAAAATAGCACAAATAACACATCGGTCAATAAGTCCCGAGGCTTTTTGTGAAATGGCAACGGTAACGAAAATTTCTTCTTGTTACCATCACGCGCCATCTCTTAGATGACAGGAAAAAAAAATTCATGAAAATCCGCCCAGTAGTTCCCAAGTTACACCGCTGTGAGTGACGGTACTCTTGGTAGTCGTCTGTTCCACCAAGACAACGCGCCGTGTCACAAGTCACTGAAAACGATGGCGAAATTGTACGAATTGGGCTTTCAACTGCTGCCGCACCCACCATATTCTCCAGATCTGGCCCCCAGCGACTATTGGCTGTTTGCACAACTAAAAAAATGGCTCGCTGGTAAAAAATTTCACTCCAACGACGAGGTGATTGCTGAATGTGAGGCATATTTTCAAGGTCAGGAGAAATCATTTTATAAAAAAGGTATCGAAATGTTAGAAAGACGTTGGACTGATTGTATCAACCTTGAAGGGAACTATGTTGATGAATAAAAAAAAAATTTCCAAAAAAAATGTTTTTTTCTTTATTTGCCTCGGGACTTATTGACCGATGTGTTATATAGTAAATATGTATATAAATAAGTGCGCGCGTTAGTTAAACTAAGTTAGTTAATTAGTTCGTTAAATGATCAGAACAACACAAGGACATACATTTACAAGCATACTAATGTGCGTTGATTACATTTGCGGTTGTACATAACGATACTACTTTTCTTTACACATTTTAGATTCATGTTCGCGACTCTTTTTTTATTGTTGCTATTATAAAAAATTTATATACTGAAGAAATTAAAAATCAAATATAAAAAGATGTTAAAAAACCAAATAGAAACTAAAATTAACGAATTAATTTTTATCCGTGCTTTAAAATTAATTTTTGTGAGAGAAATTAATAAATCTTCTTAGAGTAATTCCGTGTCTATGATATAATGAGCGCTATTTGAAATAATCAAAGCGCCAGGTGGTCGTGTGGATCGCGTGATATTCCTTGAAAGATGCCTGATATAATCTCCTGGAAAAGAATCTGTCAATCTGATTGATAATCAGCGATCGTGTCGTGTTCCAAGTTGAGGGTTCACAGCAATTTCGATCGATGGGAATGAACAAAAAATTATGATTTTTATCTCTCGTTTTTTTTCTTCTACTTTTTAAAATAATTTTTTATCTTTCGCAAACCAGGAGATCGCATCCCGGTCGATGAACTTCCTGGAACGATCTTGGAATTACCTCTCCTGATATTTTTTTATTTTTACATCTCTTCTCTCTTCCTCTTGTGATAGAAAACATTCATGAGACGACAGCATAAATCATACCTTATAGTTATCCATTTTCTATCGTTCGATTATGGATTTTACAAAGTAATCATTAATTTTGAAACAATATTAGAGCCATGAAAATTTTAAATAATTATTTAAGAATGTCTTTTGTGTGACGTGAATAAAAAATAAATAGATTTCAGATCATACAAGTTAATATTATAATATTATAATAATTGAATAGGTAAGAAGATTAGAATCGGTAGGATTGATACATTCATTCAAGTGAGCGAAGTCTTTGATCGTCAAATTGTGCCTCCAATAGTCATTAGGAGACACAATTTGCCATGTTAAAAGCTAGGGCAAACGAAGACAAGCTTTTAAAAAAAATTCTATCTATTATATATCAGTTTGGACTCCTTGGTGATTGGTATTGTAACAGAGAACGTGATCGATAAAATTTTTCTGATTTCAATTTTTAAGTATTTGTATTATTATTTGTATTGTATATTTTATTTTATTTTATTGTTATGGAGATCTTGCACGCACGCACGCATGCACACGCGCGCATACACGCATGCACGCACAATTGAACTGCATATTTTATATCATTTCAGGATTTAATTTGTGATTATTCTTTCTTTCCTTTTAAGTTAATAATTAAGTTATTTGTATTTATAAATGTTTAGATAAAAAATATTTTATTAAAAGTGTGAAAAACTTGTGTTGCATCAATAAGTGTAGCCTATTTCTTTACACGTAAAATTTACATTTCAGCAATAATATTGTATCCTTCAATATCGATTATGTTTTAGGGTTAAAGTTAAAAAATATTGAAAAGAAAACTATTGAAAGAACGAATATTGATAATTATAAGTATATAGGATAGATATCAATTTAAAAAACATGATATTTTCAAACTTTAGTTTAATAACAATATGCATTTTGAAAATGTGTAAGGGGAAACAAAAACTATATGTTTTATTGAATGTAACGCTAAAGATTTCCTGTTTTATTATTCTTATAGATTTCTCGTTTAAAGACATCGTGTCTTGCCTGCGCTGTAGATGGAATAGATACTTGTGAGATTTCGTCGATATTGCGCAAAACATAAAATAATAAGACATATTCCGATGGAAAGCAACAGTCAATTGACTGCTCGTTTATTTATCAATAAAACTAATTTTTTTTGCTTGTGTTTTTATTTTCATTAATCATTCTTTTATGATCACATACATGTGTTCCTACGTTATAGGTTATAGGTATCATCTTTATCAAATTAACAACATTATAACAGCTGTGGAGCATTTTTATCATTTTATCATTGTAAAATTGTGTTAATTGTTTTACATTAAAACATAGATAATTCATTTGCAATATTCTTGATATTTTACAAAATATTGCAGATCAATTACTTATGCAAAGTAATTAAAAAGTTCTTATTTTTGTGTATATTTGTCTGTTTTAATTTTAGGACAGTTAAAAAGCGCGCATGGTTGTCATAACTTTGTAACAGATTTTTTTTTATGTTATTTTTTATGACTTTCAAAAAACTTTGTAAATGGTTTCGAAGAAAATTAATTTGATGAGAGAAGGATAAATTTGGGTGTGCGTGTGTGCGCGCGCGCGCGCGCGTGTGTGTGTGAAAAAAAACTTACGTTTGCAATGACCCTTATAAGCGACGGGAATGGCGCGACCTGCGCGGCAAGCGGCGAGTCGCAGGTGGCAGGCACTCTTGTAGGTGTTTCCGTCGGCTCCACAGACGGGGCGTGCGCCGACGACCTGATGCGGGAGTGCTTGGGGGCACCTGCGAGCACACCTCACACAGTGAGGACTTAGGTTCTGATCCAGCAGACAGCTCCGACCTTGGCCGCACCGAACCCGTGCGCACGAACCTGCTCGACACTTTACACGTTATTACGCACAGTCGTAAACTGCCTCCGTGATAGACGCATTGGTTTTCTTTATTTTTATCCTTACAATTAGTCACCAGCCATTTGGTTTCTATCGATAATTACGTGCTCTCGTTCACTTAGCTGTGTCCTGTTATTCCTGTTCGTTTAATTATATGACTCAAGTCACTTAATTTAAAATAATCTCAAGAGGTCCAGAGTATTAAATTTAAATTATTCAGTACCTATAATTTATTCTATTAGCTTTATGGCATGTTAATTGTTTGCATCTTTCACTGTCAAGCTCGTCCTAAGCTTTATATTACTTTATTTACGTTATTACATCAATATTATAGCATTATATAACATTAAATTTTTAAATACAAGCAACTTGAAACATGTAAAAAGAGAAACTGTTAAAAACTGCACAAGAGAGATTTTAAACGATATTTAATATTAAAATATTTGGTATTGTTATGTTGATGTATCGAGCGCAAATTTTCTATTTTTACATCAACATTTTGATATTTTACAAAATGAAAGTATTCTTTTTTTACACGTGCGATCATTAAATTACGAGAATCAAATATGAAACAATTATCATATCGACAAATGGTCACTGGATGTTTCCTTTAATTTTATTGCATTTATATGCTCTGATACTGTTAATTAATATAATTGTCATTTCTGCGAAAGGAATAATACCAACGAATAATGTCATTAAATATTTGGTAATTTTAAAAAAGAGAAGCAAAATATTTTTACAAAAAATACAGAGACAATCACTTGATTTATACATACTTACTTTGGCAGTGGCCGTTGTAGGCAACCGCAAGTTCATGACTGCTCTTCTTGCAAGCTCGCTTTTTGAGTCTGCAAAGGCTTTTGTAACTCTTGCCATCCGTTCCGCAGACCGGTCCACCACCACGCGGTGCTTTACACTCTGGACTACACACGCACCTCGGTCTTCCTCTACGTACTATGCACTTTTTTCCTTCTTCGCACCTCACTTCCGCGCAACTCTCTGTATCGAATACAAACGATTCATATCTGTGCACATTTACGTATAACGATTATGTTTGAGATAACGTGATTGTTACTAGTTAAGTGCACAGAAATAGAATAGAATCGACAAAGAACTTTTGTTTTTTTTCTTTTAGTAACTAAAATTACGCACATTACACACACGTACGCAGAAAGAGAGAATGTAGTATTTTAGATAAAACTACAAATGAGAGTAAAACTAGTTTTAGATTATTATTGTTCGATTGAAGATGAAGGGTAATATAACTTATATTTGTGTACCTCGACAAGGGCGACATTGCACACCTCCACCAAGAACTCTCCAGAAGAAGAGACTTCCACTATCCAGATCTTCATCAGAATAAGCAGTCGCTGCTGCAGCATTAGATGCGCAACAATTTTCTCTCGTGATACTTTGCGATAAAAGTTCCTTACATCGCCCGTTACTGATAGATGACCAACATATACCACCTAACACAGATTGATCTAAATAAAATATATGTAAGATTCAAATTTTTTCGGATGAAATAAAGAAACGGTGGAAATACTACTATAATAAGATTTTAAAGATTATCATATACGTACGAATATATTTTATAATAAACAAAGTGTACAATTCTACACACACACGCACGCACGCACGTACGCACGCACGCATTTTAATGGAAATTATTTATTTACTAAAAGAAAGTATAAATCTTGAAGGTACTTAATAATGTCGAATTGTCCTTTATTTCTTTAGCTTTCGACTATCATGCCATCTCAAAATTGTGAGTCGTGCATTGTGCTCAACATATGAACGTATGGATATGTCTCAAATTGAGCGAGTAGATTGTTTATGCAGTTGTGTTTTCTGATGTTAGTTAGCTACATCAGTGGTACATCAAAAAGAAACATCTTATAAGTTTTTTAATTAAAATTATATGTAAAAAAATAACACATCAGTTTATGTGATTAGTATTAGAGAAAGTGGAACAAAGGTCCATGTTATGTGAAATTATCATAAAATAGGACAAATAAACGTACATTGTACGAAATATTTGTCTATAAAGAAAAAATACTTTTATACAATTATTTTTATACTTACACAGCACGTGTGCATTACTTTACTATTAAATCTGTGTGTGTAGTATCAAATTTAGCCTAAATAATTTAAATCGCCATTGCTCCTATTCAATATAATGTTAGTTTAGAATAAAACAATGGTTTTTCAAACTATATGGTGTCAATTTGACACTATATAGCGTCATGATTTCCAAGTTTATAATTTTTAAATAAAAACTTGGCTGAAACAACTTGGTTGACCATGTTTGTTCAAGACGATATGAAGTGACTGAGTAATTCCTCATTTCGCGATATTAATAAATGTGTATATTTCCTTCTCACATTGAATGATCTCATTTGTATCAATTCTTGAAAATGCCAAGTGAATTGTGTCAACTATAATACTCACCACAAGATATAGTAGTACGACATGGACGCAGGGATGAAAAAAAACCCGAGCTTTTTAAAAAAAACTTATCCATAAAAACCATTGGGTTTTATGGGGGTTTTATTGGGGTTTTTTTTGGATTTTTTGGGTTTTTGAGGGGTTTTAAATAATTGATAATCTGCAATTCTGTAGTTTCTATAACAGTGCGTCAAGGTGCGAAAAACGAATTACACAAGTAATACTTTTTATCGCACTATAGAGACTACAGCGTCTCTCAAACACACTTTATTGACACGTATCAAACGTAAGAAATGTTTCAAAGAAAATTGTTGAAATGTAATAATAATTTCTTATGTTAGCAACACATTTGTTACATTTAAAATATATGGGGATATCGATAAATGCTGAAATAGTAGTATTTCTTTCAATAAATTACTATACAAATATAAATATTACATATTATAAAATAATAAAAAGCATTTAGGTATAAAAAAATCTATTCAAAAGCGGTGAATGTATATATATATTATATATTTTATAGATATTTAAATGTAATTTAGATT